TAATTGGCGCAGATTATTTGTGGTTATTTCAAGAAGGGCGTACGGTTAGGGGCAAGAGTGATGAACCTGTTGCGGTACAAACCAAATTAAAATGGGTGTTGTCAGGTCCACTGAAGAGTAGCTCTGAAGATGATGATGGTCCTACATCGTGTGCACAGGTAAGTATAAACCTTATTGGGCATGTAAATTCATCAAAGAATAGGTCCCTTGAAGCATGTGTTGAAAAATTATGGGATTATGAAACGTTAGGTATAAAGCATGAAGAGGAAGCTAGTGAGTTATTAAATGATTCAATACATTTCAATGGCCAAAGATATAGTGTAAGTTTACCTTGGAAGGAAGGGCATAGTTTATTGCCAACTAATTATAGCTGTAGTGTGCAGAGATTAAAGGGACAGCTTTTAAGATTAAAGAAGGAGCCAGAAGTTTTACAAGAGTATGATAGAGTAATTAAAGAACAGTTAGAGCTAGGTATTATAGAACCAGTTGTAGAGTTAGAGAGAGCTGATAAGATCCATTATCTACCACATCATGCTGTGGTTCGTAAAGATGCAAAGACCACTAAGGTCAGGGTTGTGTATGATGCATCGAGTAAAGAGACTAAGAAGGGTGTATCTTTAAATGACTGCTTACATGTTGGGCCACCTCTATCCCCGTTGTTGTATCACATTATATTGCGTTTTAGAGAAAAGCGAATAGCGCTTGTAGCAGATATAGAGAAGGCTTTTTTAAACATTGAAATTGATCCGTGTGACAGAGATTGTTTGAGATTTCTTTGGGTGGGCAACATACATGAAGATGAGGTGAAGCCAGTAGAGTATAGATTTTGTAGAGTTGTTTTTGGTGTGAACTGTTCACCATTTTTGCTGAATGCCACACTTCAACACCATCTTGACCGCTTTTCGAAGGGTAATCCTGAATTGACTCGAAAGTTGAAGGACGGCTTTTATGTTGATGATCTGGTAACTGGAGAACAAACCCCTGAGCATGCATTATCATTATATGAGGCTTCTAGTAACAATTTAGCTTCTGGGGGTTTCAAGCTAAGGAAATGGCTCAGTAATAGTAAACTTGTATTAGAGAAAATCCAATCAAAGGAAGAAATCAAGCCTGATAGAGGAAACTTGGCATGTGAAGAAACATTTGCTAAGTCATCCCTTTGCATGACAGGCAAAAATGACACATCAGAGAAAGTCCTTGGGTTAGCTTGGAATTGTACAACTGATGAATTTCAGTTTTTGTTTCAGGGTTTAGTTGAGAAAGCAAAATCGCAACCTGTAACCAAACGCAATATTCTTAGAATATTAGCTGGGTTGTTTGATCCATTGGGAATTCTTAGCCCAATGGTAGTAAGTATTAAGATGTTGTTTCAAGCACTGTGTTTGGACAAAGTAGATTGGGATTCTGAATTAAAAGGAAAATATTTGAAGCAATGGTTAGGTTGGGTTCATGATCTTGAAGTTGTAGGTCAAATTATGATACCAAGGTGTGTGTATGGAAATCTAATTGGAAAACCCAAATGTTCATTACATGGGTTTGGTGATGCTAGTTTGAAAGCCTATTGTGCAGTTGTGTATTATGTCTGTGAATTAAATGGTAATTATCATGTTGAACTCCTTACTTCAAAGACTAGGGTAGCACCAATTAAAGCACAAACTATTCCTAGGTTAGAACTGATGTCTGGATTAATTCTAGCTAGGCTGATGGATACAGTTAGATCAGCACTTTCAGTTGATGTCGAGATAAGCAACACCTACTATTGGCTTGACAGCAAGACAGCACTGTGCTGGATCAATAACCAGGGCGAGTGGAAACAGTTCGTCAGACATAGGGTTAACGAAATTTTAAGACTGAGCAAAAAGGAAGAGTGGGGACATTGCCCTGGCCTAGAAAACCCCGCAGACCTAGGATCACGAGGGGTATCCCCATCCAGATTGAAGGAGAGTGCACTTTGGTGGAAGGGTCCCAATTGGTTGTTAGGTCCACAAGTAGACTGGCCTGTTGCTACAGAGATTACAGAAACAGAAGATAGTTTGAAGGAAGTTAAGAAGTCGGTCACAATGACAGTGCAGGTTGATAGTGAATCAGCCAGCTTAGAGAATGTAATTGATGTTAAGGCATATAGTAAGCTTAATAGGTTAATAAGGGTAACATCTTGGGTAATGAGATTTGTGCAGAATGTAAAGGCAAAATCACAAGATAGGGAAATTTATTTAGGTAATTTGACAGTAGAGGAGATAAGATATGCAGAGAGTGCATTGATTAAGGATGCTCAAGTCAGTTTGAGGAATAAGAAAGATTTCCCGCATTTAGTAAAACAGTTAGGTTTGGTTGATAGAGATGGGATTTTAAAATGTAAGGGTAGGCTCTCTAATTCAGATTTAGAAGAAGCAGCTAAGGAACCAATTATTCTCCCGAAGGAGCATTGGCTAACAGAGTTGATTATATCCGCATGCCATAAACGAGTTCATCATTGCGGGCTCAGAGCTACTCTGGCAGAATTGAGAGGTAAGTATTGGGTGCCACGAGGACGTCAAATAGTGAAGAAGGTGATCGGTAAGTGTGTTGTCTGTAAGAACATGGGGGTACGCCTTATGGAAAACCTGATGAGGCAGGTTTACCGGACTTCAGGGTGCGGGAGTCACCACCATTTGCTAAAGTTGGGGTTGACTTTGCTGGTCCGTTGTATGCAAAGGAAGGTGGTAAAATGGTGAAGGTGTACATAGCGTTGTTCACGTGTTGTGTCACGAGGGCAGTTCACTTGGATTTGGTAAGAAATCTTAGTGCACCTAGTTTCTTGAACTGTTTGAGGAGATTTGCAAGCAGGCGAGGGGCACCGACGCTTATTGTTTCAGACAATGCTAAAACTTTTAAGGCGGCACAGAAAGCAGTGAAGAAGTTGTACGAGAGCGGGAATGTGAGAGCTTATATGCAAGATAATTGTGTGAAATGGCAGTTTAATTTAGAGAGAGCGCCTTGGTGGGGAGGATTCTTTGAAAGGTTGGTTGGTTTGGTGAAGAGGTGTTTACGTAAGGTGCTGGGGAATGCCAAGTTGACATTCGAAGAACTGTTGACGACTTTAGTTGAGGTTGAAGGCACGTTGAATTCTAGACCGTTAACCTACATTTACGATGAGGTTGAAAACGATGTACTAACACCGAATCATTTGATCTTTGGTCGTAGATTGAGTTTAATTCCAGACGAGACTAGTTACAAAATTGAAGAGAATGATGAGACAAAGGTTAAGCGTAGGTTTAGGCATCTAGCGAAACTGCGAGTTCACTTTTGGGAGAGATGGAGAAAGGAATACTTGACGAATTTGAGAGAGCATCATAGAAGTAAGAGGGAGAAGAGGGATAGGAACGTGAAGAAGGGAGATGTAGTTTTAGTATTTGACGAGAACCTTAAGAGAGGATTTTGGAAGTTAGGTAGGATTGAGAGTTTAATTGTCGGTAAAGATGAAGTTGTTCGAGGAGCGAAAGTGAGAGTGATGACTAAAGGAAATCCAGTATATCTTAATAGACCAGTTCAGAAATTGTATCCTGTAGAGTTAAATGAGAACGGAAGCAGTACAGAAGAAAGAAAGGATAATAAAGTTGAAAATGAAGTGGATGGGTATGATAACCAGAAAGGAAAGACGAAAATTAATGAGAAAGGAAAGACGGAAATGAATGAGAAAGACGGAGAGAAGGGTAAGGTGGAAAGCCGTGTGCGCACTAGGAGAGCAGCAGCGTGCAGGATGCACATTGGAGAACACAAGTCATGTTTGACCCTTACAGGCTCAAAGGGGGGAGTGTGTAGAATAATTTGTAATACTATATTATTGATAACGACGTAGGATAACAAACAATGGGTGATTTAGTTGATTGACGTAAGAAATGTATCGTATGTCATAAATATTAGACTTTGAATTGATTGTCTGACTGAAAGCACGAGAGAAAACCAGAAGGATTGTCATGTTATGTATTTTATCGTTTGAATCGTTTTAAATAAATATGTTTTAAAGTACGCGTGTGTGTTCTATTTCCGATGGTATTGTTCTGATAGTATACAGTCCCCACGAAGCGCAACTGTCTTGCGGTGTAAGACAGAAAAGTGCAACACTTACTTTACCTACCAATTTCATTCTTGGTACGAACATAGAAGGCGTTGGCCACCTGCGAAGCAGTATTCCAACTATCAAAAGATATAACTTTATTCAAAATTCACGGTAAATTTTATTTCAGTAATGCACGCAATTCTTACACCAGAGGCGAACACCGTATTTGCATAACATTTTTTTATTTCACACAAACTTTACTTACTCATGTTTTCTGTCAATGGTCTTGCCAACATTATGCAGTTCCATGAAATTCAAATATTTGTGAGAATTCACAACATTTTGGAACCATTGGTCAGGCTGAATATCCAGCTAGAAAAAGAATGGTCACATGATAAAATTCCTCAAATGCATGATAATGTTGTTTCGGTCGTATCTAGCTGAAAAACATAAAGCCTTTTCAACCAAGGTCTTCGTCGTGCATTAATTTCAAGACGATTTTCAGGTGCAGTAGTCACGAAGAGAAGCCTGTCAAAACATTGCTTGGTTCCACCAAAAACGTTTTTCACAAAAATCTTACATTCTCTTACATTCTCATATTTCAAAGTGAGATCCTTTTCGTTCCACAAGTAGTCAGGGTAACCGACTTTGGATAGGAGGTTTTTCAGCTGCAACAACAGTTTAAAAAGTGAGTCTAATTTTTCATTTGATGAGACACGCACACGCAGTCAAACTTTCAGTAACGGTGCGATGGGTCGTGAACGCCGGTCTTACCTTTAGTTCAACAGCTTTTCTGCTTTTACCACTTAACCATGTTTCAGTTTGTGCATTATCTTTGAATGCCTCAATAATATCACTCATCATCTCTTCAACCTTTGGTAAATATAATAATAGTTCGTGGTAGCAAGATATTCAAAGATATTTCCCATGGTTGTTAGTGGAATAGTTCCCATAGTTAGCAAAAAGTTCTGTCTAGCTTGTTCTATGTAGATGAATCACTACCGTCAGTTGTTGATGGTTGTGATAATGTGGTAAAAATCATGTTGATTTACATAAACGTTAGCTTTTATAGTTTCTCGGCTTATGCTTAGGTCGTATGATGAGTCGTTTTTTAAGCCATTTAAAACACTCGCAGTCCGTGGTTTATCAGGATATAAGACACTCGGATGTCGCGTCGTGTTTTATTATAGAGACCTTACGATTTTAGGACGGCAACGTGACGGCAACGGCTACCAATACAACAGATCATTGAAAAGAATTGAGTAATTACAATATATAAATAATTTAGACATCGTCCTCGCTCTGTTTACGACGCTAAATCACAGATTTTCACGTCTTGATACAACGGCTGCATTCCAAGCCACAACAAGTGCAACTTCAAACTGGGTTTAGCAGAACTCTTCCCAACCATAACACCCATGTCTTCAACTTCTAAAACTGTATTAAATTCATACGATTGATAATATACGACGAACTATCCTTACTACCATTTATTTGAAGGAGTTTGTTCCGGCCGTCGCCTAAAATCGTATGGTCTCTGATAACACAGCCATAACCCTTAAGAACCTTCAAAAAATATAGACGTTTGGTTGCTTTCTTAATAACATACTCTGTATTAGATTCCCAATTTAGATCATCGTCTATCCAGAGTCCCAATACACCCTTTTCATAAATGACTGCCGATTAAAAATTCTTTTATGTGCATATAAATTGGCCCAACTAGCCTCGTTTCTGGGTAGAAATTCCTTTGAAATCCTAACATGCATACGAGGCTAGTTGGGCCAATTTATATGCACATCAAAGAATTTTTAATCGGCAGCCATTTATGAAAAGGGTGTATAACTTGTAAGTTTTCACTCTAGACATAGGTTGTTACCCAATGCAGACAGGAGGGATTACAGTCTTAATCTTTCTAAAATCTACTACAATTTCATTGCATTTCTTAGCGTTCAATTCCATTTGCTCATTTTCCGTGAACCGAATTATGTTATCAATATTATTTTGACCATTTTCGGATACATGATTAGTGACATCAACCACTTCGGATAAAGTAGTGTCATCCATAAACATAACAATGTCGTCTTGGTCAGAACCTCCATTCTGATCATCATTTGGTGTTTCAACAACATTGGCCAGCTGGTTAATCATTATAATGAAGGCCAAGGGCCCCCAATTTACTTCCTTGTGGGATCCCTCCTTTTATACTTTTACACTCTGATTTGTGGTTTCTACACGTACACATTTGTAGTCTACCTTGTAAATACGTCGCAAACCATCTTATTAACGAAGGGCGCACGGCGCGCACACCAATGTTCATAAAATTTCCTGACAAAATGTTATCGTTGATCAAATCATAGGATTTACAAAAGTCCAAAAAGGAGATTCTTACAACTTTCCCCGTGTTTTCTATGCTCTTATACCAATTATGTACCAAATACACTAACGTCAAAACAGCTGAAGATCCCGCAAGGCCACCAAATTGAGAATCACTAATTTCTTCTTGAACGTCCTCAAGGATCGATTCAACAGCATACGATTCTTGCACTTTGGAGAGTACGCTAGTAAGGGAAATTGGTCTTAACTCCTCCACTCTATTACATGGGGTAGTTTTGGGGATAACACAGACGTTAGAAATTTTCCAAACTTCCGGAAATTTCATAGTTTGGAAGGATTGATTAAAAATATGTACTAAAGGTACTGCAAAATATTCAGCGAATAACTTTATTATCTTTAAAAGGGGTCAAATGGCCCATGTGCTTTATTGGCATCTATGCCTTTTAATTTCTTTATGAGATTCGTCACAGATATTTGAGGCAGGGTCTCGTCTGCTGTAATCGTCAGCCACTCATCAGCTACTTCTCGGTAGTTCTTAGTTATAGGTCTGTGAAAAAGGTGTTAATACACTCAGCAGACTCTTTTGCGCTTACAGTACACGGGTAAAAATTGATCATATTGTTCGGCGTTGTTCAAAACAGGAGCGAACAATGTTGTGCTGCACCCCGTGAACAATATTGTTAACAAGTTGTTCAACCATCAGTACTGTTGCTACTTGTTAACATGATTGTCAACAAGTTGCAACAATATTGATGGTTCAACAACTTGTTAACAATATTGTTCACGGGGTGCAGCACAACATTGTTCGCTCCTGTTTTGAACAACTTGCATCAACATGATGATTTTTACGCGTGTATATAGTGGATTTTCAGTTTCCGGATCTATAATAGAGACTGAATCCTGCTTATTCCAACAACTTTCTTTGTCTGTTTCCACCATAGCTTTGGGTTATGGCTGCTTATCTTATCGGTTTAATTCTCTTATCGTAAAATTTATTTTTCTCTTTCCGAATCTCAGATACAATTTTATTTCGTAAATACTTAAAGCGTTCGGCTTGTCCACGTTGGTATGCTTTATCGCGATTAATATTATGCATCATTTCCTTGACATTTCCTTGAATATATGGTTTATCGTCCTCATACACTTTGATTGATTTACAAGGGAAGAAGGTATCAAACATGTTGTTAGTTGCCTCAAGACATAAATGAATGAAGGGAAGAAGGTATCAAACATGTTGTTAGTTGCCTTAAGAAATAAATGATTGTATATGCAAATCTTGTCTTGTATTTTGTCTTGTATTTACTTTCGTATCAATTTAAAATAGTTTCTAACGAGTAAAACAGAGCTGTAACGGCCTCCGAGCCATGTTGATCAACTCTGCTAGAAAAACTTCCTGTCACGGCGTGAAGTGCTGCGTACTATACAAGACGTGAAAATATGCATTTTGCCGTTGTCAACAGAGCTTGCACAACGCCTAAAACCCCTATAGCCGTCGTCCTGACGTCGCCGTCTTACATTCGTAAACTCCCTATAGTATCTGATAAAGCACTCCTGCTTGTGTTTTAGATCAGTGTCGTGCACAATGGATAGTTTTCTTTGTCTAAAGATGTTCACCCTGGGTGAAGTAAAATTGCCAACCTTTATTCAAATATTGGTCCAGAATAAGTATAGGAAGAAACTTAAACAAGCCTAGCTTTATCAATTCTAAACTGTTCTACCCAGTAGTTTCCCTGCTGGCAGAGGTCTCTATTTGTGCTGGGAAGCGAAGGACCTCTGCCTAGATCTGACACTTCCTCAGTCCATGATCGTGGACGAGTCAAACCAGTTTGTAAAACAAATTTTGAAACCGGTTTAGAGAAACAAATAGTGCATGCTCAGAGCTGAATTACGCTGTAATGTCATCGAGCCCGTAGTGTCAAAATGGCGGCTCGCACAGCGTTGTCATTTCCATAGGTCTCCCGAAAAGGTCTTTTATTTTCCATACAATTTTCCATACAATTTAAAAATCCATACAATTTGCCTTAAAATGCAATGCTTTGACATGCAATGCTTCAATGTACAGTAAAACCTCTATAATTTGTATTACATGAAGTACGTGTAACATCACAATAGCGTTGTGTCATTATGTAATATATACACGGCATAAAACGCTCAGGTTATGCAATACTGATGAAAACAGGATTGAACAATGTTTTGCTGCCCACACTGTTCATAGCTGTCAACAACATTGAACAATATTGTTACACCCGATTCAGGCTCAACAGCATTGTTCAATATTGTTGACAAGTGTGAACAACGTGGGCAGCAAAACATTGTCCAGTCCTGTTGAGCAACGGTCTCGGCGTTTTTTGCCGTGTATCCCCAAGGTTGGCAACTAAATACAAATTTAAAACTGTATACAAAAACTTAATGACGAAAAAACTCGTACATAAACATCGAAATTCACTTAAAAAACTAACTCACTATGGTAAGAAATAACTGTAATTCTTCTACATTGTGTTTTCTTGTTCTCTCATCACTTTAAAACGAGTTAATTTTGCGAAAATTCCGAGGAAAATTCATCAAATTCGTAACTCAATTTGATCAAAACTATGCGGGATGATGGCTCCCGGCGTTACGTCACAAAATAAAGCTCTCTGATTCGCTGGGAAATTTCAGCCAGCCAATAGGAGAGTTTTTTTGAAATTTTAAACATTTTCAGCAAATCAGAGAGCTTTATTTTGTGACGTAACGCCGGGAGCAGTCATCCCGCATAGTTTTGACCAAATTGAGCCATTTTCCTCGGAATTTTCGCAAAATTAACTCGTTTTAAAGTGATGAGAGAACAAGAAAACACAATGTAGAAGAATTACAGTTATTTCTTACCATAGTGAGTTAGTTTTTAAGTGAATTTCGATGTTTAATTTATGTACGAGTTTTTTCGTCATTAAGTTTTTGTATACAGTTTTAAATTTGTATTTAGTTGCCAACCTTGGGGATATATACACGGGAGACCTATGGTCATTTCGAGGTTTTTCATGTTGTTTGAAGTGCTCTAAGTTATGTAATTTATATTTTCAAAGATGAAACTGTGAACGCAGTGACAGAAGAACAAAAGAAAGCAATCTTTTCTATTTTATCGGGCCGAGATACATTTGTTTGCCTTCAAATTACGGTAAGTTTTTGAATTACCAAGTTTGAATTATCCAAACCGGTTTGATATCACGTGGTGAACATCACTCGTTGTCATGGCAATTTTTGCACATGCGCGACAGAAAACGTGTCAGATCTAGGCAGAGGCACAGAGGAAGTATATAGGCAGAGGCTCAGAGTAAAGATATACTCTGTGGCCGAGGTCTCTTCTTCGCTTCCCAGCACAAATAGAGACCTCTGCAAGCAGGGAACCCAGTAGTGGCCCAGATACTCACATCTGTCTTCACTTTGGCAGAGAAACGTTTCCTGATAAACAGTGCTCCCAGTAAATTACTGAGTCGGTTACTGGTATATGAATAACATGTTTCTGCCCGCGACTCTGTCTTGCCTTTCAACCGAGTGTACAATTTACGAAAGTCATTGCTCAGCAATGGAATATAACTTTTGATCATTCGCCACACCATAAAGTTGGAAAGAACTCTGAGAATGTAGAATGTAAAATTAACTAATTATGAAAGAGTTGATGAGAGTTGATGAGTTGTAACTCTCGCTCGCGTTTGACATAATTTTGACATCTCATGCAACTCTCATCCACTTTGAACTGGTTCAAAATGTTGATGAAAGTTGATGAGTGTTCTTGCTAGGTGCGCAGTAATATCAAATCAACTCTCATCAACTCTCACGCAACTTTTGTTCGCGTTTGATCGGGGCATGAGAGTTGAGAAAGCTCTCATGTAGAACTCTCGTTTGCCAATTTTCGTCCTCGCTTAACTAAGACAGGCATGATATTAGGACGCATTGATAAATAAAATATACAAACTTTTTATCAGTTTTCTTGAGTAATTTGAACAGCGTCGGTAGATATTTTGTCGCCAGAACTACAATTGGATCTTTTCGCGTGAGTTTGTTGGGAGCAACGAGACTTTGAAGATGATCAAACCATGGAAACTATTTTCAAAAATAAAATTTTATCGATATTGTCGTTGATGTTTGCTGTCATCGTCGACACTCTTAGTACATTATTCGTTCACTATAACAAGCTGCATATCTTATAGCCTGCTCACAGACGTTGTAGTATTTCGTCGCTTGGCGTAAGAACTACAACGTCTGTGAGCAGGCTACATATCTTACACAGGTATGCAGCTACCCTAGGACATGCATGAGTGATTTAATTAGTTCACCATCCAGTTCTTCATCCTCCTTTCATGTGAACTTACCTGAGGTAAGGTTTGCTCCAGTTTTTTGATAGACACACGAGCATAACGCTTTCCCATTTTCCCTGAAGTTAGCTAAAGGCATAGATACACAAAGAGTGAACTCACGCACTGCAAAAAGTCCTGGAGGCATGAGTATTTAATTAAAAAATTTCACCCACTGCTGTGACTCAAAATTGTGAGTAAAATTCCTCAAATTTATAAGCACATTTACTCAATTTTTTTACTAAAGATGTATTTTACTAAGTCAATTTTCTCATAAATTTGAGTAATTTTTTGCAATCAACATATTTTACCTGGGCAAGCCCAATCTCAAATCTAATGACGTCTTTCATCGATTTTTTGGCATAACTCATGTCAACTCCAGTCAAATTGGTCACTTTGCTCATATAGTAATACAATAGTCGAACTGCCTAAAACAGAAAAACAAAATATGCAAGTTATGACTCATATAGTATGGTTAGGGAGTGTTCATTATGTATGGTTTTGGGGGGAGGAGGCCTGATATCATAGGGGGCAAAAAATTTTGTTTTGGGGGGTCACCAGAGCTTGGGAGTAACAGATGGGGTATCATGAAAGTTTTAGTTCTGGCAATGTTTTGACCTCTTTTAAATATGTTATTTTATAACATGAAAATTTTGAATTATTACATGGCTACAAGTTTACTTACAGGAGCTTTTGCAATATTACTAACGTCATAAAATCAGCATGACTGCTCCACCTTTGAATTTACTATATGATTAAATTCTTAAACACGTCCGAATTTATCATTATGATAAATTCGCAGCACATTTTGAATTTATCATAATAATAAATTCGCGGCACCTAACACTAACCCTAACCCCAACCACTAACCCCTAACCACAGAAGACCCTAACTTTTTAAACTTTTTGGATTTTTACCCCCAGCGTGACCAGCCTCCCTTTTAGTGCCATTACATTTATAACGAGAAGTCTTGTCTAATGCTTGTGGTTTTATGATTAACTCTATTGATAAATTCAAAATGTGCCGCGAATTTATCATAATGATAAATTCGGACGTGTTTAAGAATTTACTCATACAGGTATAGTAAATTCAGAGGTGAAGCTCATGTTGCATAAAATAAACTTTTTAATTGGTTAACTGATATTGTACATACCATATTTATACAATTGTACTGTATTTTATATAAAATAGGGGGGCCACAAATGTTTTTGGTCTTTTTTTTGGGAGGGGGGGTCATGTAAGTTTTGCTGTTGCCAGAGGGGGATCACGTAGATATCGAGAGCGAGCCCCCCTCCCTCAAACCATAAATAATGAACACTCCCTTACGATTCCAAAAATGATCTCTATTTCAAATCAAGTCAAATCAAATCAATTTCTTCTCCAATGATTAACAAAAAAATACAGTACACAGAATGAATAAAACTGATAACGACTTATTTACATTGGGCGCCTTTGTTAATACATATAAAGCAGGTAGACCTTGAGGCAATCAATCATAAAATAAATTAATTAATTAATTTAAATAATTACAAAAATTATTTTAATTACAATGAGTAGAAGGAAATCACACTGATCACATATTCATCTAATAGGAGAATTATTAATTAAGCAAGGAATTATCAAATCAGGAGTAAATAGCGATCGATATGATGTTCATTATCGAGACTATATTTATTTAAAACAAAAACAAAAAATGCTTTAAATTAATCTAGACTTGAATAAGGAAACACTTGGCACATCACGAATGTCACCATCCAAAGTATTAAAAAACTTCAGAGCTTGAAAGATAGCTGTAAATTCTCTGACTGATTTGTCCTACAGAAAGGTGTGTATTACATCAAAATTCTCATACGCTTTTGAAGCAAAATAATACGTTTTAAATTTGAAAGGTATAACTAGTAGAACCCCCGACAGTGATACAATATAGTAAATACTGTAAAAAGAGATAAATTAGGGAATAATATAATTTACATAAAGAAGATTTTGAAAGAAGAAACATGAGGTTTCCAATAAATATGTTCATCTAGGAGAACATCAAGGAAAACAATCTATTTATAACCCTATCAATTACACAACCATTTATCATTATAGATAAATAATTAATTCATTATACATTCTTTTTTGTCGTGGTTTAAAGATCATATAATTAGATTTCCTAATATTTATCGACAAATTGTTAGCCTTGAACCACTCAGATAACCTTTCAAACTCGCAATTATATATATTAAACAATCAATTCTAAAATATTAGAAACATTGCCTAGATTGTTGATGCAAAGGAGAAATAGGAGTTGGACCAAGGATGTATTATTATATTGAACAAATTGCAATGGATTGGAAAGGTAATTAACTTTTCAGCCACTAAGTGCGGGAAATTGATATCGCTTTGTGAAAAAAGGTGAGATACAATTTCCCGTGTGTAATACAAAATGACTGAAAAACGGCAAACTTCGCAGGGCTATATTATCCGCATTTTACAACATTTTGCAACGAAACTTTGGAATATTACTAATTTTGTAATGCTCTTTCAAGCCGTGATAAAATTGTTCTTTCAAGCCGTGATAAAATGTTTGTCTGGAGTTGTCTATATCAAAATTTTGTTCATTAGGGAATAGATCCATTTACAGGTGTGTTTTTTTTTCTTATTAATGACTTCATTCAATATTTGCCAACTTATTTTAATATTTGCCTTGAAATACTCTAATTGTTTGTCATATATAGTAAATGCGTTTAGCAACTCTTAGAGAATGAGTCAATTTGTTTTTATCTTTTATAAGATGCCTCATTAGCATAACTGGGAACACTTTTGTCCACCTTTGCGGTATTTACCCACTTATTCGACCCATTTCTTAGCCCACTGACGGACTCACTCGATATTCGTTTTGGCCCATTGTCCCTTGCATACATGCGACTTGGCCTTCTCTACTTCACAGAACTGAGTGTTCTGCCTCTTCGTCTCCATAAAATGCAATTTGCACTTTTTTGGAAACAGATCGCCACCGCTTTTTGACTACAAAAGTTAATCTGAATGCTGTACGACTAAACCATTTCTACGTAACTTTGAGAAAACAACAAGCATGCAATATTTGTTAAGTTGAAGACACTTCCCTACCTTTGGACTGCCAAAGAAAAGTTCAGGACGAAGATCTAATGGCGCCCTATCTATCTAGAAAAATAGATGAATGTGAGAACCTTTCAGATATTATTAAACTAAGCTAACTTTATTTACTGGACAGCTCAGTTCTAAACTGTTCTCCCTAGAGGCCGCCCAGTAAGGATCCTCTCTTATTGATCCAGTGTAACTACAGGAGAAAACCTAAATTAAACTAACTTTGTTTATACTGGATAGCTGTATCAGTCCTAAACTGTTCTAGGGCAAATTTTTATTTCGGGGCGCTTATTTTTCCCAAAAATTTTACAGCAGTAAAAATTAAGGTTCAACAAAATTTTCCCGGACAAATTCCTGTTAAAACATCGGTAAAACCAATTTGTTTGGACCAATATCTGTAAAATGTAGGTCTAGAAATTTTTTCTCACACCATTACTTATATTTTGCCTGGGTCAAATTGCCCCCTTTGCACCCCCTCCCCTTTGAAAGGCCTTGCTCCTTAGAGGACAGGTCCAGCCGGTAAGGATCAACTCTTATTGATCCAGTGTCAGTACAGGAGAAAAGCGAGAATAGCTGCATTAGCTGTGGTGGACTCAAACTGGATGCACTCTTCTCACATGCGATTGGAGTGGAAAATACAATCAGACAACTGCATATGACAGAAATTGAGAAATGAGAAATGTGATCGCTGCCACAGAGGTGAGAAAGGCACATGCACTTAGTCATTAATTTAATCAACAGCGGGACTAAATACCATCAATATATTCTGCCTGGCTGTTCCGTTCCTCGATGACAATGGATCAGGAACACTCTCGATGGAAAAGAACAATTGAGTAGACGTATATTCCTTTTGAATTTTCTTTAAAGTCTCAAAAACATCCCACTTTCCAGATTTCCAGCCGATCTTTTTATCAACCGCCCATGAATTCAAATCTTTAATATACTTTCTGATAGGCTCGTTTCCAAGCTTGTCGATCGCCTCAACATTGAGACAAGATTGGAAAAAAGTCCGAACTTTTTTTATAGGTGAAAGGTTATTTAGAGAATCATTACTGACCAAAGCTTCTTGCATAATTTCGTTATTTTTGTCCCTGAGTTCAGTGATGGCTGAAATTTTATGTTTTCCTTTAGGTATCGGGTTCTTTTTCATCCATTGTCCACAAGCATAGTCGTAAAAATCATCGCACGGCTTCACCTCTTCATTTATCGCTGCTTTTATATGCGCAGACACTCTCATGCACTGTAGAGTAACACAAATTTTATTATATTTTTTTTCTGTCAAAGTTTCATCGCGCACCGAAATATTAGGATCAGAATTGGTAGTATCGTCCTGGTAAGCTACAGGCAGCGAGTTAGAAATTTGATAGACAAACGTTGAAAAAAGAAGTGTTGTTATAAAGGTCGAGCAACGAGCCGCCATATCGTTTTGGACTACGTGTATTTTGTTTAGGTCATCCAGTTCATAGGTGCCGGTGACTGATATTTCAACAGGTTGAACCACAGGGGCCCCACTATGAGATATGATTGAAATAATATTGTATTTATTTTTAAAAACCTACTTGAATCCCTTGATAATCAATTATTTCTTCTCTCGAAGTTCTGTAAACATTAGTGATGGGCGATTACCGATTACTTGGTATCGATACCACCCGATACCAGGCCCAAACAGGAAGTAGTCGATACTGCACGGTATCGAAAAAGTGTTTCGATTACTTTTAAAATAAGACATTCATTATAATGCTGCAGTTGTATCATCGTTTTCATGGTTATTTCTAATAACATTTATGTACTTTTTGGTATTTTGCTGCATTTATCAATTTAATCAAACTTCCTTTATACTTTATTTGACATTCTATCCTCGCCGACAGAATAAATTATGAAAAAAGGCGGGAAATAAAGTAATTTTTGTTTTTTTTATGGATTAAAATGGTGGATCAAATCGTTACTGTTAAAAATATGTAACTTTTTGAAAATTGGAGGAAGTAATCGTTTGGGTAATCGATACCTCGATACTTTAACCAAAAAGTAATCGGTATCGTATCGAAACCGATACTAGTGGTATCGCCCATCACTAGTAAACATTTTGAACTGTTTGGAGTCATTATACTATCACTCTACATGACGTTTTACGAAGTATAGATGATCGCTGACAAGTAAGAACGCGGGCGCGAAAAGACGAAGGCGGCGAAAGAAGGGAGAATTAAACTAAAGGGTTGAAACTTCGACTAGATGACAATTCTAAATGCCTTAAAATTCACAATTTATTTGTGTTTTCGAATATTTTTTTCAGATTCTATGTCTTTTTGGATATATCTTCACAACTGATGTAGTAGATTCAATAAACGATTGATTTTTCGTATGTTTTTACATGAAACATTCGAAGGGTTTTTTCGCACAATGTGTTCCATAAGTAGGTTGTTCTCGTGACGTCAAGTATAATGAGTCCGAGCCATTTAAAAGGTTTACAGAACTTCGAGAGAAGAAATAATGGATGATCAAGGGATTCAAGTATGTTTTTAAAAATAAATACAATATTTTTTCAATCCTAACTCGCATTGGGGCCCCGTGCGAATTTGCCGGAGAACAACCTACTTATGGAACACATCAAACGATGACCCGCCGAAGTTTCGACCCTTTAGTTTAATTCTCCCTTCTTTCGCCGCCTTCGTCTTTTCGCGCCCGCGTTCTTACTTGTCAGCGATCATCTATACTTCGTGAAACGTCATGTAGAGTGATAGTATAAGACTCCAAGCAGTTCGAAATGTTTACAGAACTTCGAGAGAAGAAATAATCGATTATCAAGGGGATTCAAGTAGGTTTTTAAAAATAAATGCAATATTATTTCAATCATAACTCATAGTGGGGCCCCCTGTGGTTGAACTATTGATCGGAGTATAAGCTGTCAGTTATCGAGATATCAATGTTTGAGACAAGATTTGCCGGGACGTTTAGAGCGAACTTAGTTCAGATTTGGAAAGTGTTTGAAGCCTGATCACACTATCAAAATTTGTGTGATCACAGTTGGAATATTGCATAGTCAAATTGTAAGTTTTGAAGGATTTCAAAAAAAATGTTTGAGTGGACTGGCTCGCTGTTTTTAAGACCGTTTCCAGCATGGCCAGAAATTGCGGACATGGATTCTGAGCATGTGCGAACTTTCACAAACAAAATGGCGGATTTGTTATATATAAATCATTAGGAGTGGCGCGGTTTTTTTCAATTTAAACGTGTTTGATAATAGCTATGTCATTTGCAGACTTCGCAATATTATAAATTATATCTGGACCATAAAACAGAAAAGTTTCGCATCGAAATCTTACCTATAAGTTGTTCCATTATTCAAGTTCACTTCATAGTACATCGGCGTATAATAAAGTATAATGGGTCATTCCATTTATTATCCGCACCCCCCCTATGGATGAGCTCTGGTAAAAATGTTACCTGTAGGAATCGGATTTCAGAGAAGTACCCTGTTGGAATCGACAGTATCAATCTAAACCCTAGGAATGCTGCTAATTGCCAATATCTCACTGGTAGGAATCTGCTAATTGCCAATATCTCACCGGTAGGAATCTGCTAATTCCCAATGTCAGACCGGGGGGGGGGGGTGAGAATAATAAATGAAATTATTATGATTCTCATAATAAATATTTGGCAATATAGTATGCTACACCTTGACGGCAATATCTGACCGGTAGGAATCGGGCCAAAGGAATCTGTTAATTCCCAATATCTGACCAGTAGGAATCCCCTAAGTCCTAATATCTGACCGGTAGGAATCCGCTCATCCATAGGGGGGGTGCGGATAATAAATGGAATGACCCCATGTAGGCTATTTACACACAAGCAATCCTGGATAATCCTGGATATGATAGAGATGATACAAGCTGTTCATTTAAAAATAACGATATAATTCTATTTCACAAAGCAAAAAAATTAAATCTCACTTATATTATTAAGAATATATATAAAGCAGAAAATTAAAGCTTGTGTCAAAACGAAAGCTGTTTATAAAATTTATAAATGTGGTATAAATGTGGTATACAGTAAGACAAATATATTGTCGTTTGACTTATCTTTGATGTATGACTTTACTGTAATACCGTAGATTTTCAACAGACAGCTAGACTTTGACATATACCATGATCGTTGAAATCTTGCAGGAAATTTTATAGTCTTTTGACGGGATTTAAGTTTTGTGATCAGGCCTTTATAATCAACAATCTCGATACAGTTGGCGTCTTGGCGATATTTCGGAAATCAAAAGATCTCGCTATTTCGTTCCAATTCCACATCTCATCAATAAATATATTCTTTTGGTCCGAGTATCAGGATATACTTTAATACTAACAGATAAATATAAACCACATTGGTCGGTCTAGAGATATGAATTTTCTTGTAGGCTTATTGCCACGCCGCCCAGGCGCTTTCTTTGGCAAGTCTACGAGTTGAAATCTGATCCAACTTGCTTGAATTGTAACTCGACACTAGATTATAAAGCATAAAGTCACATCACGATAAATATTAATTTTTAATTGCAGTTCTCTTCGTGATTTCTTGTTGCAAATTTAAATTTCATCACACAAAATTGCAAATATTGTTACAAACGCGACAAACACGCTCCTCTCCCACCCAGAATCTGGGTGACACGTGACCAGCCGAAACCAGGGTTCTTTCCTTCGCCTCGCGCCGTTCTCAGAAAGACCCTGGGAACGAGGTTGTCTTTGGTCATGATTTTAATTTTGTTGTTAACTCATTCTCGTACCCAGAGCCCTTCTTACGCGCAGTCAACGGAGCACGACGAGGGGCTCTGGCCAAATCCATAACCGGATACCATAAAAACATGGTATCCGGTTAAACACTGCGCATGCTCAACGTCAAACGCGGATAAACACTTCGGTATTCTTGTTTGTTTCGTTTTGAAAGTTTTTCTCCAGGAAAAAACCACAAAAGCGGTAGGTTTCGCTAATTTTATTTATTTAAATCAATTAGTAGGTAAGACGTGATGTTCTCAATGCATGCAATCTCGTACCCAGAGCCATCAACGATGGCTCTGGGTACGAGATTGCAATGCATGTTGATAAAAATTTAGTATCTATTTCCCTCTTAAACGTTGCCAAAGCAGTAATGGCTACGGATACGAAGACGAGAGATTGTCTCACTATTTTATATTCGATTTTAAGTCGCTGTTGTACAGATTTTTAGACTTTTTTGTGTTTTATTAAAAGTCAACAGTCATACATAAGACATACTATACTGCAAATCATTTGAAAATTGTAAAAAATCGGTTTCTAGGAAGAAAATAGTCATCACAATTAACTTCATATTCTGGCTGGCTTTAATATTTTCCCTTCAGATGGCACTTCAGCTTTGAACATGTAACACAGATTTGTTTGATTAACATCACTGATTTGGAAATACGACGAGCATCTGCCATAAAATATGCTGACTTTTTGCTATGAGAACATCACGTCTCAACCTATTAATTTCAATCAACTAATTGATTTAAAATAAAATTAGCGACCTCTACCGCTTTTGTGGGCGATTATCAACAACAATCTTCCTAACTGCTTCGTACTGCTGTTCTTTCAACTTTAATAATGTCTTTTCTCCCAATTTTCTCCAAAACGAAACCAACGCTTCATGGAGCGCTTGATTTTTATTTATATTTTATACAATAAACCATATATTTCGTTGTGGCCAATCAGAAGCCAGTTTGATATGGATTTGGCCAGAGCCCCTCGTCGTGCTCGGTCGAACGCGCGTAAGAAGGGCTCTGGGTACGAGAATGGCAACCTCGTTCCCAGGGCTTCAGTGTGAGGACGAGGCGAGACACGGGGAAGGGAAATTGCTAGATAGTATACTTCAAAATAAGGTTTCCGTGTTTATATCAATTTTTTAACTAAGTTAGGGTTAGGTTAGGTATAGGGTTAGGTTAGGGTTGGGGTTAGGATTAAGGTTAGTATTAGGGTTAGGGTTTAGTTTAGCCTTAAGATATTTTTTTCTACGTTATAAAAACGGAAACCTTATTTTGAAGTATACTATCTAGCAATTACCATACTGAAGGGGGGGGGGGCTCTAAACTTTTCAAAGGTTTGACCCCAGGAAATTAAAGTTAAAATATTTACATTTTCAGGTAAAATTTGCATAATAAGTAATTATTTTTGTGAAATGATAACCATCAGTGGCGTAACTACTATGGGCTCAGACTGGGAGAACCCGGGGCCCCCCAACCCCAATGGGCCAAATGGGGGCCCCCCAGGCTCAGGCTGTAGAGCAAATACATTGGCCAGAGCCTCTGATATGTTACAATGTCGTTTTCTGACCATCAGAATTCTGTAAAATCTCTCCCCAAAGTCCGAGAAATGGCATTTCAGAGAGTCTAGATTAAAAAATTTTCCGGAAAACTCGTGCATATACGGCGCTCAACTCGTGCATTCAGCATTTCTACTATGGGGGGAGGGCCTTCGAAAATTTTGAACCGGGGGCCCCCTGATATAACGTTAC